TTGTTAAACTGGTCTGCCTGGGATCTATCGCCCATTGAAAAAATGCGGGATCTCATCGTTCATTATTTCATATGAGTAACATGTCACGTAGCTCATGCGTGTGTGAGGAACATGTCACGTAGCTCATGCGTGTGTGAATAACATGTCACGTAGCTCATGCGTGTGTGAGGAACATGTCACGTAGCTCATGCGTGTGTGAATAACATGTCACGTAGCTTATGCGTGTATGAGTGACATGTCGCGCAGCTGATGCCCATGGCTGCTTCTGGTTCTGTCTGCTACTCCATAGAATGATAAAAAGGGATATATTTAAAGCCTAACAAAATTTATGCATATTTTCAGTCTAAAAGCGATCTTGTTTGAGTAGCATGAGTAGCACGTACATTTTACTATCAGTAGATTATGTTCAAACTCGTCATTTCAAAATTGAACTTAGATATCATTAAGACAAGTTTATTTTTGGCTGCTTTACGTATTAATTCTTTGATGATCAGTATTTCCAGCCACTTGCACCGAAAAGTTAATTGATTTACCCACATTAATGTGCATGTCGCAGGTGTTGAGGTTATTATGCGGTAATTAAGAATCGAAATAAAAACAAACCTATAATACCAATAAGCGAAATACTGCCATGACAAAAACCTCAGGTAATTTACTAATTGAGATCCGAGTAATTTCTCCCAGTTATGATAATTTACCATGTAATGGTATCCTCACCGCGATGACATTTCCCTTATTAATGGACAAGATATCTCAACAAGATACTATGTTTCCACGTATTGATATTCTCCCCATGCTGCTATTTTCCCTCAGAACAGCACATCCACTCATGCAATTGCACTCACAATGCAATTCGCCCTCTTGGCAGCATAATCCGTCGCAAGATGATGTAATGATATTGGCGTGAAATGATATAGTCACCATAGTGACATTTTCCCTCTGAAATAATACATCCATTCACAGCACAATTTGTCCTCTCAGCAACATCATCCGTCGCAAAACGAGTTCACCAGGTCACTTCCAACTAACTTCTTCAGGTCATTTCCTCACAGCTGTTTTCTCCGCATAAGTCACCACCCTCGCTTGTGTTTCGGACGACCCTCTAATTTTTTATTCCAGGCTGGAACGTCATGTCCGAGGGCAGCCGACGAGCGGACATATCGAAACTTCAGTTCAGCGGTTAGGAATTTAGAACTGCAAAAGTTTTATATTACGTAGCATGTTTCCTACGTTGTTTCTAGGTCTAATTAAAGGTCGAATTTCTAACGCTTTAACTATTTAGCTACAAAAGTTATTCTCTAAAACACTTATCCGAACTAAAATAATTCCTAAATTAGTGATATTCTGCAGTAAATATGGTATTATATCATAAAAATCATTTTTCTGTAAACCTCTTTAATTTATCCTGACTCGGAAATAACATCAGAAATAGCAATGGTTCCCATGGTAACCTTGAACTTGGTCGTTCCAACGGCAGATTAAATTCCGGTTCCAGTCTGACTCTACCTCCATTCAACATTTACAGGCAATTTATATTTCCAGGTATACCTGGTCTTGAAATGCGAGGCACTTCCGGTACCACTTTAGGCTAGAATTCCAAGTTTGTTTCCATTTCATTCTTTGACTCGTTCAACTTAGTTGAAACAGTTGTTGAACTCCGTTAAAACAGTTGAATTAAGTATTTTAGTATTTTCATCTCATTCATAGTCTCGTAGAACTCCGTTGAAACAGTTGAATAAGTCATTTTATGTTGCCTCTCTTTGCAATCGAAACAAAAACTGCCAACTGCACGATATACGCGACGCTCTATCATGCAATGAAACAAAAAGTGTCAGCCGTACAGCATTTGACTTACATAATTTTCATCGCAGTTTAAATAAAAATGGGAAGGGAGTCTTTGAACTGTCGGGAAGGAGTCGATTTTTTTAACTTTATTGCTATTTTCCGACATAAAATATGTCTAAAATTTAGTATTTATCAGTCAGCCAATAGTATGTCGTTTGTAGATGAAATAGTGCAGTATTGCACCGGTGCTAGTATTGTGCCTAGCACCATGCCTAGCACTACGCTTAGCACTGCCGCGTCTCCCGCACAAGGTGCAATATATAGTGAAAGCAATTGTGCATGAGAGAGCGAGGCCGAGGCTGACAGTGTCGGTGGCAGGGAGTGCCACAAGTTACGCTTTCTCAGGCCGCAGCTCGCACCAATAACATGTTTAATCACCGAGCAATCGCAACACAGGAAATATAAAGGTAATTGAATATTTGGCCCCAAAGCTCCTTGTTACTATATCCATAAAACTTTTTTGGTGAAAATATAATTTATTTATATATTTTGGTAAGTTTAGGGTGACTTGTTCAACGTAACATTGTCTGTGTTGGCATTGCGTTTCTCGGAACTTGGGTTCCATTCTATTTACGATTGACCAAGGAAGACATGAGTGGTTTACCGTGTTAATTGGAGTTTAGAAAGCCAGCTCTGCAGAATAAACATTAGAAGCTACAGGCGCACTTGCATGTGGGTAGAAAATATTTTGCTGAAGCAATAAAAAAATTGGATATGTGGTAAATTGATGATCAATTGCTGCGACTAAAATCTCTTTAAAATTAGATCATTTGACACCATACATTGATTTCCAAGATCTGAAAATTTTGACTATTTTTCGAGACATAACAATCAATTTCTGCCAATCTCCGGCCTGATTCTATGAATCAATCGAAGCCTGAGCCACGGGGATTGCCAGAAATGGATGCTTTCGAGTGGGATTTGAGCGGCGTCGAGAAAGGCTGGTCCACATCACTGAGCCTTTCATCTGTAAAAGCCAGCATCAGCTCGCTGTTTCTACTCGTAGCAGCGGACTATTTTGATCCATGTATTGTCGAAATATTCGTAAGACTAACGAATCAGAATTTGTCGTTAATGTCTTTGTTAACTCACTCGTGTGAGTTGTCTGCAAATGACTAATTCAGCGAACCTATTGCGCAGCGAACATTGAAAGGAGAGAGTGGGGAAAAGGAAAGATGTAGGGGGAGAGTTGAAACGGAATAAATGCAAGAAGAGAGTTGAATGGGAAGAGTTGAATGAGTAGAGTTCAAATGAGAGAGTTGAAAGGGGAGAATTTAAAGAAGAGAGTTAAAAGGGGAGATTTGAGAAGGGAGATTTACAGGGAAAAGTTGAAAGGGCAAAGTTTAAAGAGGAGAATTAACAGAGGAGATTTGAAAGGAAATGATTGAAAGGGAAGATTTACAAGGGAGAGAGCTGATTAAGACTACCGTAGTCTAAAGGTGAGAGGTGACGGAAGAGAGTTGACAGGGGAGACGTGCTGGAGAACAGTTGAAAGAGGAGAGTTGAAAAGGAAGATTTGTTGAAGAGATGCAACGCTGCGAGCGGCTTTGATGCAGCCTGAGCAGCTGCCCGGCTAAGCCGAGGACTTTGCATGGCTCCAATTAAAATAAATTTAAAGAAACAGTTGCGACGAGAAGCTGAAATTCGCAGAAACATTTTATTTCCCGTCATCATAAATGTACACTGCACAGTGTAGATAAAAGCAGACGTTGCAGCGCTTACATGAAATAAAATAAAGTGCTTGTTTTGGTATTTATTGTTGTTGCATTTTTATTGTTTGAATATTTTTCAATTATAAGTTATTTCTGGAATATATGCGGAATATATTCAACGGAATTGAGTTACCGTTAAAGCAAACTAATTTTAATTTGAGGAATGTCAACGTTAGATTTCTGTACACTTCTAGCTTAACGTTTATTGGCAAGTTTCTTCCGTAAGAATTGTATTGAGTTTGTCAGGAATAAGATTTGTGTGCATCTAGGCCAAATGGATTGAATTTTAATTAATAGATTCAAATTTACGTACTTGAGCAAGACTAGAGCTGTATATAGATAAAAAATTTCCATTGAGATTGTTTTAAAAACGTGCGTTTGACAGCAAAATTTCCGATATCGTGTGGCTGGCAAATGAATTGCCAAGCCTCTGGCCAAGAACTCTGGTCAGTTTCTATGTATACGGGATATATATCGATCAACTGAGAGCCATCGATTGTCTACAACTTTTGATTTGTTTTGCAATAAAATAATTTTGGTGCTCATGATTTAAATTACGAAGAGTGAAGAAATAACGCCATTTTGCATCTTGTAAAATAAAGATCAAGGGTACAGCTTTTTTGTGTATTACTTTGCATGTATATATAAAAATGTTTTGATATATACAAAAAAAAATTATCTACAAAAAGTAATAATCACTCGCTTTATTTGTTAAGGTTTTAAAGCATATTCCTTGAACAGATGTTCTCTGAAAAACATCGCTGACGATGTAACTACTTATTACTTGTGTATTCAGTAATGATACTTTTGAAAGCTCCTATTGACGAAATAACTATTAATTATTAATCGAAATAATGCACGTATCGAAATACAGTGATGGATTTTCATTTCTTCCGTCTGTATTTCCCATCAAAACATAATGTTGGTTTTCTCATAAATTGCTCCGATCAAATGCCGACCTTTTCACACCGTGAACAATTCCCTTCAGTTGAAGTAACAAGTGTAATTTTCCGCTGTAACGACCATTGTTTCTTTCAATAGAATTTTTAATGCAACTCGACTCGCAGAGCATTTTTGTTGTGAATGCAACTCCCCCTACGTAAATAATTTCATCGAGTACAGCAGTACTTGCCTCTACAACAGACGTGAGCGGGAGCCAGTATAGTGACGGTGATAGTGTGGGCCTCAGGATAGTGCATATAACTTCTAAATCTTGCGTGATTTCATAAAGACAATTTTTAGATAATAACGCACTGTCTCATGGTGACCAAAGTAATGTAATTTTCGCAAAATTGTTTTGGAGGTAAAGTTATAATTTTTTCATGTTTTTGAATGTCGTTCGTTATAAATATCTGAAGGCAATTAAATCATTTAATTTTAGGGATTCCCTTATTTTAACGAAAATAATCATAAACGATTATTTATATAAGATTCTCTGTGCAGGTCGTGTTGGGAAAGCACCTGGTAATATTACACAGCATCTTCTTTCCTTCATGACGCAGGACGCTGTTTAATGTAAGTAAATCAAGCCAATATTGCTGTAAATTAAACGATAAAGCAGGTAATCTTAACCTATGTTGTTCATAGGAAGCTCTTGACGCGGAAAATCGGCTAGCTTTCAATATAAATTTGACCTTTGCTTTCATCATGAATAATTTGTGTGATATTGACAGCATGACAGAGCCAATATCGACCAACAATAATGAAACAATGAATGCATTTTAAGATTAAGTAACATAATCGGTTTTGCCGCGGACGCGGACTGCTACGCTCTTAACACACGCATGAAGTGCCGCTGCAACCCCATGTTTCTATCCGTTGTTTTTTTCCTCAGCACATATACGATGAATAGGAAAATTCTTCTTATGTAAAGACATAACTGATACTAGAAATTACAATCAAATATATTTTTCTGGAATTATTTTGACCGGAAGGTGACGAACATTAGTCCAATATTGCACCCTACCTCCGCGAACCCTTGAACTGAAGTCCCATGGTTCCCACCAATGAATTATTCGATCGTTTAATTTATACACCGATTTTTAGCTACCAGACTCGGTCATTTTGTGACGTTAAACTCAACCATTCAGAAAACCTGCTGCAAGAAAATACAATCACTAATCATTAGAATCGAAAACTAGTAGCTGTGAAAAACAACGAATATCTTCCAATTTTGGTATGACTGCCATCAAAGGTAGTGCACTTCGCATTTCATGATATTAGCAACTCTATTTTGCTCCTTTGTGCCACACGACGCACATTTTCCTTTCAAATTCTTGGCGTTTAGGAGGGTATTGCGAGGCAAAGATAATGCGGTTCCTCCAATGGCCAACAATAAGTTTTTCAGCCACGCGCGTTATTGCTCAACCGAGTCTGAATTATCAGCAGGCCTATCATTTGTTTTATGGATCGATTCAGTCATCGTCAGCAGCCACCAATTGTCGGCGCGGGAGCCCCGACGCACAGAAAAATGACTGCGCCTCAGAGCCTCGATCATCTTGCTCCCACTGGGCCAGGTTCTTCCTCTTTTATATCGGGTGTCAATGAATGATATTCTTCGCGATTTATGGCAGATTATCATTCTTTGGCGTCCGGAATCGAAGAGAGTTTTCGACTCACCGACCGCCCCACCTCTGGAAACCTCCTTCCCGTGACCTTAATTTGGACGATCATCGGTACAATTGGACGTGGATATTTGGAGACATCGGCTGCGCATTGGCGTTTCCAGCCAATACGACCAATACGAGGCGTTGGCTGTAGGAACGCAGCTTGATTGACTGGTCGAAAGACGATCCGTATTCTGGAAATCATCCCTGCGGGCATCTTTAGCGCAAATGGATGTAAATAAGCCAAGTGCAAGAGAATCGTTTGGTTCGGGAGAAGACCACTGCCAACAATTTTGCAGTCACAAAAATGTTAGATATTGTTAGAAATAATTAATGGGATGGCATTACCAATATAGGCATTGTCGACTCATTTGCAGTTATGACCATTTCTTTCGAACAATGCATATTTTTACTACCAATTTCATTGAAATGAATGTAAACAACTTCATGCACAAGAATTCATCTCGAACGATTCAATTTTCAAAAGGATTTTAAATTTCGTATGCGATATCTAGCTGTGCTTTTCAGTCCTTAATTTGTTCAGCGCTGACAACGCTCATGCACTCCCGCCACCTACGTAGTTCACCTCCAGCTATCACGAGTCAAGTTAACTTTGTGTTGAATTCTCTAGCAGTACTTCACACGCTTTACAACTAATTCAAGAGTTTTTTTATTTTTTATTATTAAGTAATCTATATTCTACATTTATTACATAATTAAATTTATTGATTAGAATTAATAAAATATAATTTATATATGATATTATTTCCTTATTATTATAATATCGAATGTTTTGCAAGATAAATTTGGCTGGGATTTTTGCATTAAATCAAACTATAACATCAAATGAACACATGAGTGATATTAGATATCAGTGGTCTGAAATCAGCATTGTTTGGAGCTGAGAAGATGATACAGAGCTGCATTATCGACGGCTACACGAGCGCCAGTAGCCACGAGTCTTCGTCAGTATCTACGTACAGGAGAGCTCCACATGAAGGATGAATATGTAAGAAAGGATTAAATGCAGTAAATGCTCAGAAAAATGAGCCTGTCATAGTTCAAATAGTGACACACTTTTACCCACTACTCGAGGTTTGAGCTGACGTAGCACTGATACGCCTTTTTCCGCGCCAAACTGAATCAGCTTGACCCGCATAATGGACAAAAGTTCATAGCTATTTGCAATAAGAAAATATTTTTATTTGCAGAATGAAGCATTCAATTATATTTATAAATTTTAAGTACTGCGATGCGGATGTAATAAATTTGTTGTTAATTTTAAGCAGTATGACGCCTTGTAACGACAGGATTTTATGTGCACCTAAAATGTTCACCCATATACAAAGAGGTTCAAATATGAGTTATTATCAAATATTACCAAAGCTGATATATTGGTTTTCACTCTACCTTTATTGGACGAGAAATTACCCCAAGTTATGACTAGAGAATATATGCTGTTTTACGATGCGACTAGTCGTTGATATAAAGTGATGAAACTACAGAATTCTTTGATCGTACTTATAACGTCGCTGCTAAAATAAAAAATACTAGGACATTTTGTCGCATGTTATATTTATTAGCAGACAATTGCCTGCTATATATTTGTTAGCCGTTACGAAGTTTCGAACAATTTAAGTTTTCTTGTGCAGAGCAACTTCTTAGAAAGACAATGGCTAAACGTACCTACAACTTGGTAGCTCAAGTTAGATGCAAAGCTCGGCTAATAATAAATTTTTTGTTGCATAACTTCAATATTAATAATGGGAAGATGACATTTCCTGATAATATCGGATCGCATGTATCGGCTCCCAATTATTGCTATAAGGCCAGAATATTTTCGAATTGAGATGCTGCCTTCAGTTTCGGTGTTGTCTCCGCATTATACGACTATCTCAAGACAGGGAATCCTTAAGTTGAGAAATTCATCATCCTAGTTTTTTCATAAAATGTTCAAACTCAGCTGTTTTCAAATAACCGAATATCTTCTTTTTTCATTGATATATGAAATTCATATATAATCATATTTGAAATCATATCATTCATATACGAAATCATTTAAATTGTGAGTGTCGTTACAATTTTGAAAACTGCTACTCCAGTTCAACGCCGCGAATCTCTGGAGCATCGCACGGCAGTTATTTTCTGAATATGCGCCTTCTGTTGAAATTCTAGCCCGACTCCGAGACGGCCATCACCGCCAGATATACGAGTACAGTCCACCAATACCCAATGGGTATTTTTTTAACAGGGATCCAGACAAGGTTTATTCGAAACCCTCTTCGATTGATGGCTGAAAAACTAGACTTGCGAGTCAACCTTGAACTTCTTTGCGTCTTTCTTTCATCTCTTCTGAAGCCCACATTGATTCAAGTTCAGTTCCTGTAGCTGCATTTTTCAACGCTTCTGAAATTTTTGGCACCTTATGTTATGGTGGATTGTGACTATGAGAGGTTTCTGTCGCCGTCGTAATTGATCTAGCTATTCGATGAATAAACTTTTATATATAATGAAGAATTTTCTCTTCCATAGAAAGATGAACAAAATCGAATACAAGGCATCGATCATTAATCTATTGACATCAATGATTAATCTGCCATCGTCTATCAAATGCGTCCAAAACTCTTACTAATCAATATCCCTCTTGATCCCGAAGCTAACTCACTGGCTCCACAGAGAGGACAACAGTGCATGAGAGGCTCTGATAATATAGGCAAACATAACACCGTTACTACAATCTGGCGTAATTGGCAACTCCCTTGCATAAATCTTGGACGATTACGGGCGGCAAACGGTCGGCTACTATATAATAAGGTCAAGGTCAGATCGATGCTTGCTAAATTGACAAAATTCTGCACGGAGACTGCATGGTTTGCATAACAATGAGATGCGAGCCGCTGCCGCGCTCCCCATACCTAGATTTCCTCTTCAAAGCAACAGGTATAGAGTGCATCCAGAACTTCATATACGAACATTCGGATCTCAACGAAATCGTGATTGGGATCATTTGTATGTCCACTTTGAAAGTCATGGTTTGTTTGAAACATTACTGGTACTTTGATTAGTTTTTCAATGTGTTCGCATTTATTGAAATTTACTATATGAACTTAACCTTAACGATTAATTAAAGACATTATTCCTTAAAAATTGATTTTCTTCCTTATTATCCACCAAATATTGTTATGTCGGACTAATCAGGAAGCTCATTCGCACGACCGCGACCCAGAAGTTATCCGTCGGCGATGTCAGGACAACGAATGGCCACTTCGCCGCACCAGGAATGTTTAATACAAAGCAACGAATGTTAGCCTTCAAATGGCTGAAAGAGTACAAGCTATACGGGATTATATATTACTAAAAATAAATTAGCTCGTACCGTTTATTATATTTTTCAGTTTCAATTTTTTGCGAATGATCCAAACCTTCATGGTTGACTTAATAAATCAGGAAAATATCGCTTAGTGAATGCCCACGGCAATATTAGCATATCTTTATTGCTGTAAATCGCATGCATCATTTCTGTAAATTCCATGTTTTTTTGCATTAAATCACATCCACTATGCACAGGTCTAAGCAGAATAACCTGAAAAATTACGCTTGAAATTAGGAAGCTCTCTTCTATGTTACCATGCAGTCAAGTTGCCGTGCGTGTCCGGCATGCAATACCTACCCAAAAGGCGATACACGATCTGGAAACATGGACGGTATTTACGATATGCATCTCATTATTTTAGGTGGCGCATTATACATCAGACTTGATTGATCACACTCCATGAAGACGTTCGATATGAAGACAACAAAGCAGAAGTGTAACAAAACAGTAATAGTGAGGAGCAGTAGGCGTTCATTGTTGATTATTTCTCTGCGAATCACTTATATTCTTCTCGCTGAAAATATTTTTTTTCCAGTTTTGGTTATAGCCATTGCCTATCTGAAAATTGCATTCTCAATATACAAAAATGCTGAGTAATATATAATGGTAATTCAAAGACAATTTAACTATATTACAAGACCTCTCAAGAAATCGTGAAGAAGGCTGTGAGAAGTATTTATTTCTTCACTCCGAACCCTTCATTAGGCTAGGCAGGTCAAATTAAAAAATTTGCATCCTTTGTATTGTGCAGCAAGGAATAAATGGCATATTTTCAATAATTAAACCTGTTTTAAAATCTCGAAATAATTAACTTATTTGTCTTCGAGGGTGAGGCTTTAATATAGATCAGTTAAAAGGTGGCATGAAATCAAATAGTTTTGCTCAAAGTTTTGAGTGACACTGCTATTTCTTATTAACGTTATTATATTCTAAAACTTCTTGATTTTTAACCTCGCTAGACCAGCATTAAATCGAATCATTGAGTTAGATCTGTTCTATACAGATTGCTTCACCGAATACTCGTGTATATTATATATGGTCTAACAGAAGCCTTTTATTTACAATCGATGAAATAATTAATGAACTATCGTTCATTCTCAAATTTATTATCTAACAGGCGTTGCTAATGACTTCTGTATTTAAAATCGAGTTAAAAAAACTCGCTTAATCTGTAATTAATCGAGTTGAAATGATGTGAATCAATTTGAACGTGTTTCTTTAAACACTCATTCGTGTGCTCTATTTGCAATGTTAAAGACTAGAAGAAATATGAAGCCTAAACCAACACAATTTCAAAGACGATGCTCTGCACGCTATTGAATGCTGCCATCCTTCTAACTTCAAAAGAATTTTAAATTGATATTCATCATTGATTTCTTATCTACCACTTGTATGTTCAATAGACCCATGATGTGTACAAGTGTTTCGTCGATCCTTTAGATGATAGGAACGCGTTCAGGTGCAGAATCAACACTGACATCTGCAAAAGTACTGAGAGTAATCTCTTATTGTCGAATTTAATCGTTCCAATTACGAAGTTTTCATTGTGTGTTTTCTTTTGTATGTTATGCATTGTTCTGAAATCCAATGCCAATGAGCTTTCTAATGCAGTGTAGTTATTTTCCTACGAAAATTTTTTGTTGTTATGTTTCTCCGACTCCGGCTACGGTGTCGAGTATTTTCTCACAAGATCAGTATTGACCACTTATTTAATGAAATAATTATTAGTTAGATGATTACTGTGGGAATGTAAAGCGGCCGTACTATCGAAACTTGTTTGAATGCACATAGCAACATAGGTAAACATAGCGACCACTTTCTCGTCAGTGATTGGTGGGTTTAGCTTGAAAAGCCCTCAGTGATTGGATGGTGGAGTCACAAACTCGGAACTATTTCTGAGATTACGGTCACAGTATTACAATTAATGTCAACTCACGTTGCGTTCCATTAAGGCATTTGAACTTTAGACCTCGGAAGCTTACGTCACCGAAGGATTGGTTGTTTGTGGCGTACGGATTCGAATTTGGATTCAAAATGATAAACTCGTCAGAATTTTTGTTTGCTGTTCTCAGACTTCAACAAACCGATTTATTTGCAACGAAGGGCAAAATTCAAATTTTGCTCAAAGTTGAACTTGAGTCATGATTGTAAAATGAACTAACCTCACTATAAAGTTATTGGCCCCTTGTCCCACACATATCACTTACTCGTTGATGATTTATTAATCATGACTTAAATCTTTTTTAGTCATGACTTAAAAAATTCAAGCGTCCCAGCAAAATTCATGGAAAAATATTAATTCTTTAAATGTATGTATTTTGCTGTTTATTCATTATAAATAATTCGTATGCAAAATGTACAAGTCAGTCAGGATGCATATACTGCAATGGCCTCAGTAAATTGTACCTTATTGGTGTGAATTTTTCCGACCATTCTGGCAAAGAGAGGAAAACATTTGAAAGAAAATTGGTTATAGCCATTGCCTACCTGAGAATTGCATTCTCAATATACAAAAATTCTGAACAATATATAATGGTAAATTGATTGTACTTAATTGATTACCTAAATGGCTTCATAGAATAAACTTAAATGCTCAATGCGTGTTTTTAATCTACGCGATTATATAAATATAAAACCTGCTTATTCGCAGGTAAATGGTACATCGTTTCGCATCTTATAATTATAAATTCAATTAAATCAAGAAGAATCCGAAGTAATATTTAATTAGAGCTTTGAGTGACGAATCGCCCGTCAGACCAAAACCTTCCAATGGCAACAGCAAACAAATATTTCTAGTTCATCCATCAACGTCATAAAGGCTTGGCGAAACAAATTGAAAAGCCATCAATTGAACTCTGCTCGAGTAATGTCACGATAAAAATATAGCGAAGGCATGTGCAAACCATCACGTATTTGTACAAGTAAATTAACGATTGCAAGGACAAGTAAAAATGGCACAAAATTCATTAAAATTCCACCATTTATTAGGACTGCAGGCACGTCTTCTAGTCTCAGTTAATCAGGCTAGGCTCCTTCAGAGTTGAATGTCTTCCCAGCATTTTAATACACTCAGCTTTGCAAGTACATGCGTTGCGGTTTCAGTCCGTACATTAAATTTCATAATTTTCTTTTTCCTTTGTTTTATGACTAAGTTATAATATTTATTTAGTTGCTTGAAAATATTATAATGATGTTCTACTCAAAATGCCCTTTAAAACTTCGATGAACTCAAGGCAGACAAAAGTCTACGGATATTCAAGCAAACAATCCACTATCTCATCATTTAAATTATAATTTATTATCGTCAATTAAGCTAACAGGGTTCACTAGTGGCTGAGACATTAGCGTATAATGTGTAGTAATTATTCATATATGAAATTTAAATAATGAAATAGGCATTATCTTATTTCAACAAAAGGTCATGTGAACAGTAATTATTGAATAATTAACCAGGAAAAATTCAACAAATCGATGCCTTCAAAAATTCAACAAATGGCATCGATTATACAATACTACTGTGCTTAGGAAAGCGGATTTTAATGTTGCTAACATGCACTACAATGTACTCAAATATATCCAATCTGGTCCAGTGCATAACCAATGCCAATCTAGCGGCATGTGTATCATTACACCAACTTTGTCTGCTATTTATTATTCTCTGAAAGACCCTGCATGTGCTAAGATATTGTCACTTAAAGATAAAGTTATATTTACCAGCATCCTCATGAGTGGCGGCGCAGGATAAAATTTGGTCTGACAATTTGTCTGCTGAGAAATCAAATATTTTAAGCAATACTTTTCAAAAGGCGAAATTGAACGTAATACGTCTCGATTTATAGTAATATTCGTTTAATATTGCGAGACATTTTTGCGCATTTGATCCATAAAGCTTAATTCTTAACATTACAATTTGCAGAGTGTGTTATTCTTTTATGCATCACTATATATTCCCTCGTATTCATAAAATATTTTAATTTATTTTGTCTCCAGGTGAACTTACGGACCAGCCTCCAGCTTCCTATCTACGAGGAGGAGGCTTCAGTTTGTCTTTAAAAAAAATTGTTGGAAATTTGATGCAGGATCCAAATATCTACTGTCGGAAACAGAACTTCATAGTACGTGAAATATCTGCGTAGTAATCACCCCTACAGAAACCATTTTACCAGACAGTGATAGATTGATTGCAGAAAATAATTAGTGCCAGTCTTTTCGCAAAGCAATTTTTGGAACTTGTTTGATAATTTCTTATCAATTTCACTTGAGAAATAAGAGCGTAGAATTTTTAATTTGTCGCAAATAGCCCCTTTAATTTGGATTATTATTTTTATAAGGAAACTAAGGTTGAATTAAAAACCTGTCTACGAAAATTCTACGGTATTGGAAGCGCTTATTTTCTAAGTAATAATTCTAAAATTACTATCTTCCTCAAGTTTATTTAATTCCCTTTTTCTCGATCTGGTGTCTCACATCTTGTCTCTCCTTCAACGTCTGTTTACAAATTCCAGTTGTGGTATTTTATAGTTTCTATTCAACCATATTTTATTCGTTTAAATTATTTGGTGGGCGTCCCGGAAACTATTCACTGATTTTGCTGCTGAGAACTGAAGTCATCCACACTTGCATGGCCCTGAACTGCGGCGGCTGCTTCGCACTGCATGGCGTCAGAGCTCCCGTAGGCATGAAGGCGCGACACTTCGCTAGAAGATTTTCTCTACAGGCAAGTAAACATTGGAGTATTTTGCCAAATGACTGTGAAAGATCAAAAATATACAGGAAACAATTATGAAGTGACGTAGTTAACTTTGATTCGCAATGTGGAATTTATACAGATTTTTATCGTATGTAAATTAGTTGAAGAAAATTGTCGTATATCAAGCCTTTGAGTTAAGCGATCAAGCCTAATCCTGGCACTATGCAGTTCATCATGCTTCTAATTAGTAATGCTATGAGCGTAGAAGCAATATTGCATGGTTAAAAATAATCTTCATATTAATATATAATGTAATATATTTCTTCCAGCCGTTATCGCTGCCACGCGAAAACAGCACCGAAAGTTCCAATAAAGATGACAAGCCCGACCGCTCCTCAGGCGACCGACACACCAGCCATCCTCAGCGGGGCGACCGCCGCCACGCCAGCGGCAGCGCAGCGTGCATTGAGAGCACCAAAGACTGCGAGAAGTTCAAGAAGAAGTACAGGGTCGTGGTCATGGGCCCAGCCAGAGTCGGCAAGACGGCTATTATAAATCAGTTCCTTTACGACACCTTCAATCCCAAGTACATCAAAACTATAGAAGAGATGCATCATGGAGAATATGAGGTGACTGCATTTCGTTCACATTCATTATGAACGTTTCAGGTAAAATCATCTTTAATTGAACCTCTACGCTCATTATTGCATTGCAATTCTTGTTACTTTCGGTAACGTAAATTGTTTTGTTTCGATTACGCCTGGTGAAGTTATGTCCGGATTTCAGTCACCAAATCAAGTGCCGGGCTCAAACCATTGCTAAATTGCACAATTTTGATTCAGGTCTCTTTCTGTCTAATTCCTGGTTACATCTTCCTAATACGTCCCCTTGCCCTGCAACAACATTCGCTTACAAGAAAGATATCAACAATATTAACGTACGTGTGATATTCCGCATTGAAACGATTCCAGACACTGGAATATCTCTGAGCATACGAGAGCTATCATTTGAATCCAAGGTCTTCTGAAAACGCCGGGCTTTCATTATCAGAGACACAGCCTCGACACTTTCTCCTCCATTGCACAAATGGAGCTCGCCCAACAGACATGTCCTGATCCTTACAGACTGCCTTGAGAAAGAAAAATGGGGAGGGCAGCTGAATAATTATAGGCGTCACTGGATCAAATCTTTAAATGGATTCATTTAATGAGATGAATTAGACTCCATCGATTAATAATGTTCAGAGGCTCTTATGAATCAGACTGATATCCCAGATAATGATTCTTACATGTCGTTCTTCATCTCCCGCGGATCTTCACAATGACAGGCATTTTTTGTGTGGGATATTTTCTCTCCTTGAAATTTTATTTTAACAACGAATGTATCTAAATCCTGTATTTTTACAGTGGTTTTGTCAGTATCCTAAGTATTGACAGTGATCATTTCAATATCGTAATTAAATAACATATTGGATAAACTACATGCCTATTATTTATATAGGCGCCTCAGGTGATAAATTTCAAATACACTAACAAATAAAAAATATGCAGCCTCCATAACCGGTGCAAATTTATTTCAGATAACTGCCCAAAACACTATGTATCGTTAAAATTTCTGATGAAAATCTTGTAAATCTTGTTTTAACTAATCTCAATTACATGGGGTATTTATTATCTTTACAATTATTTGCATTATCTTTACATTTTTGCATTATCCTATCGACTATTTGCTCTATTTTTGAAGTTGCTTGCATTATCTTTGCAATTCTTTGCATTATTCATGTAATTATTATCATTTGTTCTAAAAATTCTTGTCTATCTACCATGAATGTAACTTCATCGCTCATTTACCGCAGATCTCCAGCATGTGCCTGACGCTCGAGATCCTAGATACGTCAGGATCGTACGAGTTTCCCGCGATGAGGGATCTGTCCGTGAAGTGTGCGGACGCCTTCATCCTCGTCTACTCCATCACTGACGCTGAATCTTTCGAGGAAGTGAGTGCCCACACATTCGAGGAGGATCCGCTCGTCCTGTCACACTCAATCATTAGTATTTTCAGAAGAAATTCGTACCTTCGTATCGTTCCTGTTGGCCAGTAAAGCATTTCTTTCAGTTTAAGGCACATAAAGAGAAATATTCAGGACTAAATAGTAAATTTTCAATATAAAATATTTGTACAATAATTTCCTTGATTGGATGGTTTTTTCAAATGAATTTCTTTGAACTTTATTTTGATATAATTACGAATGAACAACACATGCTTACAAGAATGATTTTCAATATCTATCTTCGACCTACTATACAGTTGTAGCTTTGCATCGAACCTCAGATAGACTTTCTGTGAATTATTGTGACCAGGATTCTTAAAAGCTCATATCATGTGTTCTATACATGAGTCACAATTGGAACTGCATGGTATGATATTGTTCGGTTGTACACGGTAAATATTTTCTCGACGCTGACACAATAGCTCCGCGTGCACAATGTAAACTGTTTAGGTAATTAAATGCAAACACATTAGATATTTTCCCGATACTCAAGTATACACACGACAGGTACGCCGTATTCGCGAGTATATCTTAGCGCTGAAGAAGAGCCCCGTGCCGATGGTGGTCGTGGGGAACAAGACGGACTGCGAGGAGGACCGCTGCATCGCCCTGGAGACCGCCGAGACCACGGTGCTCATGGACTGGGAGAACGGCTTTATTGAGGCCAGCGCCAAGAACAACCATAACGTCCTGCAGATATTCAAGGAGCTTCTTAACCAGGCGAAGATCAAGTGAGTGACCGTTCTGCAATTGCGATTGTGATCGGCAAAGCGAAATTTCGTTACTGTATTGATTTGGCTATTTTCAAAGATAAATTCAATGCTCGATGATTAGGAATAGAAGATACGATAGATGCAACTCCATTCATCTAGTTGTCCTAATACGTTGCAAATGTCTTAATATCAAAGTATTTTGAGTTTCCCATGAACTGACACTTTCTCCTTTTAAAGGTGCAAAACTCGCCCGTCACCTCTCTTCCAATTACAATTTTAACCGCTGAATCATTATCCATGTTAGCTATTTTAAAATATTTTCCCGTCAGAAAGCATATAATTTAGTTAAATTCTTCGAGATAACATTTAGACAACTCAATTTTTAGCAACATTCCCCCAATGCTGTTTCGTAAATTAAATGCAGGTGTGGTTACCTCTACAGATACGCGCTGAGTCCCGCAGTCAAGAGGCGCCGCCAGTCTATGCCTAACGTAGGCCTACAGGTGACGCCGGCACAACTCAACCACCTCAACCTCATCAAACTGAAGACCAGCAGCAAGCGCAACTCTTGTGCCATACAATAACTTGCCACCATTTGTCTTCCCGAGCAATTTAAATGAAAAAATGTAAATTTAAATTTTTAATTAAATTTTTTTTAATTTAAATTTAAATTTTTACACTATGCACTCAAAGAAATGAGCATGACTGGCCCGTCAAAAGCGTGCATCAGTGAATATGTGTCATTATCTGGTGAATATGACCAATTAATTCTTCAGAGCGTAAGTAAGATGATAAGAATTATAGATTTTACGCCAGATAATTTTTAGTTGATTTCTGTGAGTAAATAAGTCAGGGCAGAAACAGAATTGAAACAGCGAACGCAGATCCTGCGACATATAATAATCATGCTTCACTTATCCTTTATCTTATTACTTCTTCACGGTTAAAATATTAATAAAAATTCGTTCATCGGCTGTCCAATGAAGTGAATAAACAATTAAAAACTGCTCGATTCATTGAACAGCTCGAATTAATTCACTGCTCGATTTCAAGATATTTTTAAATAAACAAAATAATTCAAAATTCAGTGATTTATTCGCTTGTAGTTTTCCTTTTGCAATTTTTTCAGTTATAACGAAGTTTTAATTTAATTGCACTCTATATGCTCTTTATGGGATGATATCGATTCGGTTGCTTGGCAAGTTATGCGGAGAAATTTTTTTCCAGCGAGTGATACTCACCAGCCATTCAAGAGTATTTTGGGTCAAGACAGTATCATCCTTCCAAAACTCTTCCTGTTCCGTAAAACTTTAATTTAATATACCTCAACTTTAATTTAATACACCTCAACTTTAATTTAATACACCTCAACTTTAATTTATTACACCTCTCTATCTCTCTCCCTCAACCCCTCTATCTCTCTCACCCTTTTACTAGTCATTCATGTTGATAATTAGTTTCCTCACAAGCCGCTTCAAGGGGGAGACGAGGTTTACGATGACCTTAGCACGATCGTTACGATGACCGTAACGCTATCGTTACGATGACCGTAGAGCTCATCGTGCGGTTCACCCTGTGTACATATTTTTATGAGAATACTTTGTGGGTTTGCGAAAAGCTTAGGAGCATCTATAGCGGTTGTTGTTGATAAAGAATAAGTGTTTCTTATTAAATTATAAGTGACGAGCGTAGAAATCTAGTACCGCGTAGTATGTGATCAGTCTACTTCTTAAGGGTCACGGCCGTCCAAATTTATAGCTAAATTTTGAAACTTGCACTTCCAACGGTGATCAATTTTATACCTAAAAGAAATATATCAGGAAATTTACAACTTCTAAAAACTTCTTCAATATATCTGAAACGCACTAATCAAATATTTGCATTTAAATAAAAAACTATTTGCTTTGGAAAATGCCACAAGCCACTTCGCAGTTTTTCACGTCAAGTAAACGGAGAAAATTCCCCTCTTATCGCATTCCAGATCATCTTTGCAAATATAATCACAAATCGAGAACACAAGTAATATAATACTGTATATGAATTATTTATATGCACAGTGCAAGGCTAAAAATATATTTTCTATAGCAGAGCACTTGAAATAACAGGACTATTACTAAGCAGAATTTATTATCTTTGTCCACCAATGACAGTTCATGCATGTAGATTTATTCATGCAATAAGGTAGCTCTTTCCTCCATCTGGTTCATGAACAAAATGGTGGCCAACATCGCAAAATTGTTTTCCCGATTGTCATCATCAGACATAAGCACAGCTCATATTTATTCCTTATCCTGAACTGCTTACTAGCTAAGAATAGCTCGCTTGTCTTACGCGCCTTAATTAACAATATGAATGAAAGTAATTTTATGCGACTGTAACTGTTTAATGAGTCTCGTTTAAATGTTTAATATTATAATCACATGATAAGCTTAGGAGTTCCAGCTTGACCTTGAGTTAAATAAAGGATACGTGCATGGTAAATTCGATATGTGAGATCCGCCTAAGGATATCTAAGTTTTCTCCGTAAAGCCTCAATGCGATTTCGTCATTGCAGCAATGAAGTAACTAATGAATTGAAAGAACAAATCGTTAAAATTTGTAATTTTTTATCGTCAGATTTTGTATTGATTATATTCTAAATTCAGAGGACGCATTGAAACACGAGGTTCAGTGAGGTCATAATGTAAGCAGTTGGTTATTTGCCAATAATTGCTTCAGTGTTAAATCAAAACAGACTTTCAAGATTTCATAGAGTGAAATATCTGTACGAACTTACCAATATCGGATCTATGCTTGGACCACAAAATCTCTTGCCCACTGAACATCACGCGACGAAACGTGTTGCTGTGTACATAACCAATCTTCATACCAGGAATGTCTAATAAATATTTAAGTTACTTGTGTTTCCTTCCTACATCAGAAATTTGGGCAGTATTTCCTTCAACAACTCCCGCTGATAAATAGAAACATTGTTTCAACTGCGAGTGTTTCTCTTAACCCACTAAAGTACTCTTATCATTGAAGGATCCTAAGGACTCGTTGAAGAATACAGATACAACATTCACAAGAATACAGAATGCATCAACATTCCTCCATGTTTCCTAGCCACCTTAAGGTGGTGCTTGAGAGCCGCGAGCCCTCAGGCAGGCTTGGCTGGATCCCTATGGGAATCCATCACTACGTATAGTCATTATAATTCCGCTCGTAAATAAAATATCAATCTGAATTTTGTCATGCTCATTCAGCTATTTATTTACAAGTTCTCTACAGGAACAAAAAATATGTAAATTTTGTCTAACATTAGTTATGATAGAGGAAAAGGTTGTACATCGATCAATCAATGTTCATTATACTATATGCGACTTACCTAATTTTGTGAGACACAAGGATGTAGTACTATTTATTACACCTATGAGACGGCCGTAGCCCTAAGATGGGTGCTGGCTCAGGTATCATATTACAAAGGCAACAAGCTCGAGCGCAGCAACTTGCCGATCTGAACACAGAACAAGGGTTCCACATCCTTGTCGCGAATTTCTCGCTCACGGACTTCGCCGCACTGTGACGACTGGCCTTAACAGCGCCTCAATTTGTAAATGTTTAACATTGCCTCCAAAATCCATAAACTGTGGAATTCCATCTTGAATGGATTGAGAAACTTATTGGTATTAACGTGTTGTTTTGTGCCTAACGCGCTGGCATATAGAGTAAAGTTAATTTTCCTGACCAAAGCGAAGTTGCGTGTGCCCATAGATGGCGTGCATGAGTCGCTTCCATCATGTTCACTAATTCCATTAGCCGGCAACCAGAGCCCAGCTTTACTGTAGCTTAAAATCAGTTTAGTGCTCACGCCCTCACAGTAAGTAACTCAGAGCATCCCCAACAGGAAACAAATTTGAAGCGAGACAAATAAATGATAATTTTTCATGATGGTTTACAAGATCAGTGTAAAGTGCGATGCCCTGTTGGTGGACCCAGGGGTGGGTCGACGAGCCGAGCATCGAGATCATCTTACACTCTCACAATATAATTATTGCAGAGGCTGATATCCAATAAAACTTTCAATAATAAAATAACTTTAAATAATAGATAAAATAGTAGAATATGGCACGAATACCAACTATAAAAATTTAATATAATTTAGAAATAATCCTAAATATTTAGTTTTATTTGCATAAACCTCAAAAATCCCGTATAAAATTCATCATTAAAACATTAACAATCAAATTTCTTTTACTAGACGGTTAAACTTTGACGAACACATACGGTATGAGTGGTCAATAAAAAATGTGTATGTAACGTTTCCAGATATTGCGTACAATATCTACATCAATGTTACAATTCCGCAGCAAAATGCCCATATTAAAGTAGGACAACCTTGAATCACAGCCATCAGCTCCAGAGGTGCAGCGAAGTGAACGCATCAAGAAACGATACTCGAGAAGCGAGGCCATCGATTCACACACGCGGCGGTCAAAGGATCGTCGAGCCTACGATCGTTTGAAGAAGCAGATTGAATTCCGTTCCCTGTAAGGAATGCTTCTGTGCATATCTACACCTGCTTACAGACTCAACATCGATCATGTGATGACTGACGTGACGGCATCTTGTGTTGTGAATGTAGTGTTTTAGCTGCAACGCAATTGCTGTAGTTGTTGTCAGAGTTAATCTTTTGGTATATCGGAGTCATCTTCGAATCAGTTACTTTAGTTTAGCCTGCTTTATGGTTCTAATGCGTCAACTGCGAAGCATCATTTTTTTTCGAGCGTAATTTTAGGAACATATGTATCCTAACTAGCATTTGATCATGACAAAAATAGAAGGCATCCATGACAGTCTTCCTTTTTAAGACCATCAAACATCAGTTAATGGCATTGCTTCAGCCCGCACTCATAATAAAAGCCCTCTGCTTGTATCGGCTGAGCTGTAGTGAACTGAGCACGCGCATGATTGCATTCCAACGAAACAACGACTCGCAATTATCTGAAGAAAAGAAGTATCTGAAGACTTGTCTTACTCGCTTGAATGTTATAAACTTTAGCCGACAGGTGTGATTGTTAAGATATTGATCTATTCTGAACCTCTCGATTCATTTTAGCAAAAAATTCAACTCTCTTTATTATTAAACTGAATCAAATTGAAAGCATTTGGGCGCTTTGAGACACGTAAAATGTGTCAAATTAACTATTTTAATGAGATTATTTGAAGCAATTTAGAAACCGTTTTCAGAAAAAATTGTTTACGAAATAACGTAATTATTCATCTCTGCAAAATAACTCCACAGTGAGAAATGCTGCATATAATCCTAATGATTCACGTGTCCTATTTGGGTTTCCGTAAAACAAACAGACTTCAACGGTGGCCACAGAACTCGCGGGTTCACCCATCACGACCTGACGACGGCTGTGCGGCGTCAGCCAATCAGCGTTCAGCGCCTGAGTCCGTTGGCCGGTAGGACTCTGTCCCTCAGTTGGTCGCTGACCGTGGCGAGGTGAAGGTGTGTTGTGCGTTCATTACTGCACATTTCAATCCGAGACTAACGGTTCATCTCTTATTTTCGCCAGAACAATGATATAAAAGTGATGCTTGAATTTTCATGCGAAAGCATATACTATCTACCCAGAAAGCACACCGGAAAAA